GAGGAGGAGGAGGAGGAGGAGGAGGAGGGGGAGGGGGAGGAGGAGGAGGAGATGGAGAAGCTTCATTTACTTCTGTCAGTAATGTTAGTTGGAGACAAGGTCGTCAACTTCTAAGGCAGTATGTATAAGAAATTTTTTAATTTTAGAGATATTTTAAAATTTGTAATTGCTTACTAATATTAATATTAATATTTTTGTATTTTTATTTTATATTTAATTTTTATAGAAAGAGACAAAAAAAGAAAATTAGTATTTAATTCATAAAAAGATATAAATGTTTTTTTTTTTTTAGGTATTTGCAAGAGATTGGATATACTGATACAATAATAGATGTACGATCAAACAGAGTACGATCTTTGCTTGGCTTAAACAATAACACAGACACAGAAGAGATGAATACTCCAGCGTTAAATGGAAATGAAGGAGTAGCACAGGATAAGCAAGAATATAATGAAAGTCTTTTACTCCGAGGAAAGCAACAGCGTCCTCCCAACAAAAAGGTAGAAATAAATAAATATATTTATATTTTTTGAAATTTGAAATAAAAAGAACTTGAATTACATGAATGATAATTGGCAAATTGCATATATCTAAATAAAAATTTTTTATGAAATTTGCAAGTTATAATGAAAGTTTAAAAAGTGATGAAAATACCTTATATGTAATTTCTATATAAGAAATGTGATATTCCAATTCTAGCAACAGCCATCTTCTATAGCAGAGGCAATGATATTAGATACGGAAGCGGCTGTTATAGCGAATTTTGAATTTTTGCGTCACACAGATATGGACATGGAAGAAGAGGAAGGAGACGTAGAAGACGAAATTTACGATGCAAATACAGATACTAAACCAAATAAAGTAAATTTTCACTATTACTTTATATATTTATTTTATATCATTTAATTTATATTCATTTATGACATGTGTATTTTATATATATGATTTTACCAATATGATTTTTTCAAAGAAAAACCTTTTTCTAGGATAAAAATTCAGAATAGGGGAGTATTCTCCAATGATCTTGACCTTGTTGTCAAGATCATGATCCTGAGTGACTTCCAACAGGTTTCAGTCGTCGGTTGACTTTCGTTAAAAAGTTGATAACAGAAAAAATTCTGCTATCAAAAACAAAAATTCTCTGTTTTAAAATATTAAAAATATTTAAAATAAATATATTTTCTACTTTAAAAAGTTGTTAACAGTAAGGCAAAGAAGTTCTTCTATATAAAAACAAAAATTCTCTGCTTTAAAATAAATTCCCTGCTTTAAAAAGTTGTTAACAGTGAGGCAAAAAAAGTTCTGCTATACAAAAATTTTCTCCTTTAAAATAAAAAAAAGAAAGTCACTTATTCTTATTTATTATTAGTTCATATGTACTTTGAATATTTCTTTTTTAAATTAAAGACACATATTTCTATCTATGTAAACTTTACATCCTTTTCGACTTTCTACATGAAGTGACTTTCTACTTTCTTTTTTTTTATTTTAAAGCAAAGAATTTTTGTTTTATATAACAGAACATTTTTCTTGCCTCACTGTTAATAACTTTTTAAAGCAGAGAATTCTTATTTTTTATATAGTAGAACTTTTTTTGTTAACAACTTTTTAACGAAAGGCGATCGACGGCTAAAACTTGTTGGAGGTTCATTCAGAATCATCATGATCTTGACAACATATATCAAGATCAAGATCATTGGGGGATATTCTCCTAATCTGAATTTTTAATTTCTAGGATCATATGAACCCACAACAAAAAAGAAAAGAAAACCTTCAATGATCAAGCTGGACCTTAAATAATTCTATTTAAGAATTTATATATTATCTATATAATTGTTTAAATTGCACTGAATTGATTTTTCGGTCTTGAAACGCAAACCGAATGAACTGCAGTAGTAATGTCACAAATTAAATTGCTTAGCAATTTACTAATTTAATGCTCAAGTATTTTATAAAGATTTTAATGTTGGATAACACATTAAAATCTGTAAATAAGCTTATTGCGAAAAATATTACCTCGACTGGGGAATCCGAATCTCTAGCATTCTATATGAGCGTCCCAAGGCTTTAGATCACTGAGATGAATATATTATTTTTGTTTTTGTCTTGCAGGCATCTATTCCTCTTCTAGCGGAGGATGTTGATACAGATGCAGAAGCAGAAGAAGTGTTAAACGAATTAAACCTTCTTACAGAAATTGAAGAATCACCACCTGGTTCTATTCATTTGGAAATGAATTCTTCAGAATGGAGTAAGTAGTATCCATAATAATTTTTATACATTCTTTAGATGTTTCTATATTTCAAAATGTAAATCTCTGTCACATACATCTCATAATACAGAGTATGCTAAAATTCGCAATTCAAAATACTATTGCAAGAAAATTTTCCAAAAATTACATAAAAAGATATTTGTAAATTTTTATTTTAGATAGTAATTTTTGAAATAGTAAGAATTTAAATATAGTCAATTACAAACTACATTTAGACTACATTTTAGAATTACATTCATGGGCTACCTGCCCATGAATATGTTAGTGAATATTGGTGAATGTGCACTTCAGCCCACTTAATGTTTTTTATAATGTATTTATAAGTGATTATCTAAACATAAAATCTGTAATTGACGTAGATACTTAAACTTTTATATCTCAGAAAGTATTCCTTAAAAATAAAAATTTATAAATAACTTTTTTATTTAATTTTTAAAAACTTTTGCTATAATATTTTGAGTCATTAATTTTGGAATATCTCGTATATACTTGCATGTAATATATTTATAATATTGTTACGGTTTACGATTTATCAATCTGATATCTTCCCTGAAGATGCAGCATTACATAGAGGATTGCAACCAGACCCGAGACGCCCAAATAAAGAAGGTGATTCTACATTGGAATTAGGAGAATTAGAACAATTATGTGTTAACAACGACGCAGAAATATCGTATGATGTAAGTTACCATAATCCTTCCTATATCGCACAAGATGATTCGATGTGATTCATTTATATTCGTAATGGCATTGTTTTATTCAACAGATGGTTTCCACCACAAAAGAGACGTTCAGGAAAACATGGAATGCGAAATATACGTTACGTTCGCACTTTGACGCTGTCAGGGCACTCGTCTTCCATCCCACAGATCCAGTCCTCATCACCGCAAGCGATGATCATACACTGAAGTTGTGGAATCTTCATAAGACTGTACCAGCGAAAAAGTTCGTAAATTTCATGAGAATAACTACTTTAATTGCAATATCTTATTTTAAAGATATATGTTATACTTACACATATATTGTGTTTATTATTATATCCTTTTTTATCTTCTTGTAGGTCAGCCTCGTTAGATGTAGAACCACTTTACACATTTAGATCACACACTGGTCCTGTATTGTGTCTGGCCATGTGCAGTATGGGCAATCGATGTTACAGCGGTGGTTTAGACGGCAATATTCATTGCTGGACGCTTCCATCAGCTAACATTGATCCATATGACTCGTATGAACCAAGTGTCCTTAGTCATACATTAACAGGACACACGAATGCTGTTTGGGGCTTGAGCATGTATTTTCGTACCATGCTATCATTTAGTGCAGATGGAACTGTAAAATTGTGGGCCCCACAGACTCCACAACCTCTTCTCAATACATATGTTTCAGAACAAGGTATGCAAACGTTATTTAACATTTTAAACAACAATGCACTATTAGATCATGATTAGCAAGTAGCAAATTATATGTTAAATTATGTTAGATTATAATATGGGACTTGTGTCTCGAATTCACACAGCTTTATCTAGCAAATATTGATCAAGTGTAAGTTCCTCTCTGTGTTGTACATTTTTAAGTGATTATTTGTCATAATAGTTTCTTTTTTCTTCTTTTGTAGACGGTATACCGACTTCGGTTGATTTTATCAGGGACGACCCGCACAAGCTGGTCGTAGCTTATGAAGGAGCTTGCGTGGTATTTGATACTGAAACCGGCGCGATCGTGGCGCGACTCGAGGCGAACGAGACGAAAGGCGTGAATCGCGTAGTAGCACATCCTACGTTACCGCTCGTTGTAGCCGCACATGAAGATCGGCACATTCGATTTTACGATCACCGATCAGCTACTCTTGCTCACGCAATGGTAGCGCACTTAGACGCAGTTACTAGTCTCGCTGTAGATCCTCATGGTTTATATTTACTTTCAGGAAGTAAGTAAGAGAAAAAAACGTATCATGATTAATTTTATCGCGATAATTTCATAGTACAAAATTATCAATCAGTTAAAAATAAAAAAATATACATTTTAATGTAACTTCTTATTTATTATTGTGCAGGTCATGATTGCAGTATAAGATTATGGAACATGGATAACAAGACTTGTGTTCAGGAAATAACAGCACATCGGAAGAAATTTGACGAAAGCATTCTGGATGTAGCGTTCCATCCATCACGACCGTTTATAGCGAGCGCCGGCGCCGACGCTCTCGCCAAAGTGTTTGTGTGAAATGTGTAAAATCCAAGATACACTCGTTACATCAAAATAATTTCTACTATTACATCAAATCAAGCAGTTTTTGTACTCGTATTCATTTTAGATAGCCTTATATAACTTTATGTGTCCACACCGTACATACGAAACACCCCCCCCCCCCCACACACACACACACACACACACACACACACACACACACACGCAGGTACGCACGCATCCGATATATTTCCGTTGTAATTCTGATTGTTCTACCATTTTCAAGGTATCGATTTATAAAGAAATCAAATCGCTCGTGTAGTTATTCATAAAGAAAATGAAAAGAAATTATCAATAACTCTTGTCTGAGACATAGTTATGGGGGAAAAATAATTTTAAATGATATAAACGCTGCTTGTTGATGTTCGATCATCATTAAGTAGCTGATAATTATTTGGAATAGCGGGGAGGGGTATCATGTAGAATATTAGCTGATGTAAGTCCTGATAATTAGAGGAATCAGCCCCTTACCCACAGAATCCAGGAAGTACACTGCCGCGGTAGCGTAATATTTATCCTTACGTTAACTATTTATTACCAATATCGCCGTTACTGTTGCACAGCTACTGGGGATTAATACAATCGTAATAATCAACTATACAGTTGCCCTAAATAAAAAAGTATATATATATATATGCATAATTAGTCTCCCATTACACATAATTTTTTCCTGCTGCCTTATATATTCATCGAGGCTAGCACATAGTAATGATAATAATAATTGTAAGCTAAATAGACATAATATTAATAACAATAAATTATAATTGTGTGTTTCTCTTTCTGTAATATATTGTATTTAAAAATAGATAACTGTATAACGAATTATAATGAACATTTTTTTATTAAAATCTCATTCCATATTATTTTCTTATTTTACATTCCCAGACAAATCTTAATTCGATCGATCTTGTTCCTCGAGAAAAATTTCATGTGATATGATTTTTTTTTCCACGGCGCGTAAAACTGCGGGGGGGGGGGCACATTTCTTAATATCAGGAGGAAGAGGATAATTCTTACGAATGGTCGTTTCTTTAATGAGCGCGAAATAAACTGGAGTATGAATTTGTAGAATTTTTTTCCCATTCTTTTTGGGACAGAAGAACAATTCTACAAATTTACTTCATTCACCTTTCACTTTCCCATTTTGCGCATAATACCATCTTTCAGCGTACGCATCGCGATTATTGCTATTTCAAAGAGAGAGAGGAAAAAAGAAAGCATGACTCCCATTCAAATACGATCGCGCTAATCAACTGAAGCTAAATACGATCAGCCATAGAACACAAACCGCGAGCGATCTCGTGATTCCCCGTGATCCGATCGAATCGAGGAGACAAATCAAACTGAGAGTGGTCGATGATCCCGAGAGAAATGACAAAGTTTTCCGTAGACGCGTGCACACCGTATCAGGCATGAGAGCTGGACGCTTACTTCAACTTCCTCGAGTGATTTGTTGTTCCACGCGCCTCGTAAGTGGTTAGGTCCTCTTTGCAGTCTCGTCCTCCCGTTTGCTTACGGAGGAAGATAAGATCAATGAAACGATACGAGATTCTTGCTAGGTGTCGTCGACAATCGAAAAATAAAATCGTCTAATCCATCAAATTCTTAGACAGGTTATGTGAGACTCGTGCGAGTTTATCACTCGGAAACGCGCAATCCGAGACGTACGTCCGCGAATTATGGTACGCCCCGATCCTTCGTGAGCGTCTCGGTGGCCTAACGATGGAACGGAACGGTGCCAGAGAGATGGAGGAGCGTCGATGCATTCGAGATACTGGAAGAACCCTGAAGAAGTACGGAAGCACAGCTAAGCACATGACGCGGACCGAGAGCTTGATGAAGCACACAGTGTGCCCTACAGACACCCTCCAAGGAATAGCCCTTAAATACGGAGTTACGGTATGGTTCATCCATGTACATTGTTCTCTCATTTATTTGTCTTGTGTTGTGTTCATTTGTTACAACAATGACACAATTCTAAAACTACATATCATTATTTAGTTGTAGAAAAAGAATGAGAATGAAACGTTGTTATATTATAAATGAACAATGTATCTTTTATAAAAGAATCCCATAGAAAGTAAAGTTAGAAATGCTTAATACTTTTAAGACTTCCACAGATACTTTCTATGTGAAGCTATGTATTCCGCGGATTATCTCTGTGTCCATATCTATTCTTGGAATGCCAACATTAGAGACACTTGTAATAAATCTCATATCAATAAAATTATTTACATTATATTATATTAGTGCATATTAAAGACTGTACATGAAATTAGCAAACTTATGTATAAAAGCATACAAACATTTTAAACGATTAAATACCTAATAATGATATTATTGTATATTTAATTTAACAGAATATACATATTTTATTTTATTGTTAAAATTTATTAAATTGTACCACATTTAGATACTTTATATAAATCTGCTTCCACAGAAATTGGCATTTTTCATCTTATTTGTATTTAAACATTTCTTAATCTATTTCACCTAATGTAATTTATATAAAGCCTTTAATATAAAGAGGTATAATTGCATTCCATTGACTTATGAAATAAGTGAGAAATAAAAAATCTACAAGAAAAGAAGTCGCAGAGTATAACTTTAATACAGAGTATAACTTTTTTAATTGAACAGAAACTCAATGCATAAATATTAATTAATATTTGTAATAAAACTTTAGAACATTCATTTTAAAAAATTTTATTAGAGCAAAAACTTGAGTCATCTTAGTTACTATCCAAATTTGTTCGTCATATTGTCAATGAATTCATCTAGTGTCAATTGGCGCTTGAATTTATATCATAAATTTTTTTGCACCCCTGCAAATAATTCTGCCGACATCCAAAGACACTTCATACTAACATTTTTTTAAAATGTTACTAATCTAATTATAATACGAGTGATCAAATTCACTAAAACGATTGCATTGAGAATTATAATAGTACAAAACTTATATTACTTCTGTCTTTCGTAATTCTATTGAGTTTTAAACTTCATTGAGAAATAAAATATTTAAAGAAAAAATATATATATGTTATATTTTTTTCCAGTGTATATTATAGTTTTTATTTTATTGATTTGCTTCGAGAATAATATTTTAATCAATACTTCATTTGCTCCAGGTAAAAAATGTTACCTCTAATGTAGGATTAACTTTCTAATTTTTACAGACAGAACAAATAAGAAGGATTAATAGATTATGGGCATCGGATAGTTTATTTTTACGGGAACATTTGCTTATTCCTGTCAGCACAGACAGTTCTGCCTCTATATGCAATGACGAATCGGCAACTTCTGAGGAGCATGATGTCCCTCCAAATGTAAGTAAAGTTTGGAATCATCAATAATTTTCATTTTACCCCTTGATATATGTGCCTTATGAATATTTGCATTTCATAGGTATCTAGTCCTTCTTCGATATCGTCATCTATTGATGATGAAGGTTCAGTTAATGATTTCTTAGCTAAGATGGATAGCTCGATAGCCAATGCCAAGAGAGACGTCAAACGCACTCAAGGGAACAGTGAGTAAGTTATTTTTTATACCTTATATACATTCGATGAAACTTACATATTTAACATATGTTTTATACAAAAAGTGATTTAATAAAAATATGAAAGACAAGCTTATAAAAAATAAAAATTTCTCTCAAAGATCGGTATTCATAATTCTTATATTTAAGTATTTTAAGTACAGTCTTAAGACGTAATAAACCATCTTAATTAAGATATTAAGGTACTCCTTAAGGCAGTAACTCCTTAAATTCTAAATAATATCTTTACATCTATAAATTATTTTTACAGATTTTGCACTGATGGTAATGACGTTTACGTACAACGACGGCGTGGGTCTGCTAAATTGCGAAACTCATTTCCCACCACATCGAATATCTACTCAATGTCCTCCTCTGACTCCATCAGACCAGTGTCCTCTAGTGATATGCATAACTTTCCAACTGCTGTAGTTATGACGCAAGGAAGAAGAGTAAAGACTTCCTTGCAAAGACTCGAGCAGCAGCAAGATGAGATGTTCCAGTTGTAGCGTCTAAGTTTCATTGGGCTAATATCCTGTGTCGATTGTTATTAAAAAGCATGTAGAAAAGGATGTACTGTATATCAATGCGCGAATAGGAGGTTGCTTTTCATGTCTGACGTTGGTTGATTCAATATCACTATATTACATATATAGTTTAATTAAATTAAACTGCATTGCGCTCTCTTTTACATTGAAATATCATTCAATTATCCCCTAGTTGGTCTAAGCAATATTCTTGTATAATAATGATTGCTCTATTGCATGATTGCACTATCATATTCTGGTTTTACGACTTCTTCGTAATGATATCGTGAATGGATCAACTGACTTTTATATATACGTAGCGCTGAACTGTTTTACATAACATTGCTTAGTGGACCATATGTGCCTTGAATATAAAACTGCGTTATATAAGGATCCCATTCATACTCCATTTTTATCTGATTAAGTTATATAAAAATTTATATATATTTTTTAATAATATTTTACATTCTTTTTTTTTCACTATGATGAATCACTTGAAAATTTGAAAAATCAAAAACAAATTAAAAAAAATTAATTATATAGTGAAAATGAATAGTGCAAAACTATATATGAACAAAATATAGAATCTACTTATTTGAAACGCGACTTAAACTAATTGTTACACTTGTTAATAAAAATATTTTTTATTTTGTCTCTTAGTAAAACCTGTTATAAAAATTTTTTTCGCAAGTGATAAAAAATATATCATGTATACAATATTTTTCTAATATTAAATATATATAAATGTTGTCATTGTTTACAAGAATCCTAATAAAAATTATCATATTTAAAATTAAAGAAAAGGACAAAATGTACCTATTATTAAAACATGGAATTAATTTTTTCAATTAATTCTTAGCTGACTAAACGTTTTTTGATTAATATTGAATTCATTGTAAAGTATGATATTACTACAGCACATTTTAAATAACATCTAATGAATTTGAAATATAATTCATAATAAACGTTTATAATCATCACAAAAAGTCAGCGAATATTTTACAAAATATATATAATACAAAAAGTCACAGAGATCCAAAGAAACTAAAAAGAATTCACATTTTAAAATAACGTTACAAATAATATTTAATATCGCAAAGTGATGATTAAAACTAGAAATTATAATAACAGCAACTTAATTTATAATAACAACGTTTCCACTTAATACAATTACACATTGATATACATTGTACATCAAATCTATATATTCAAATTTTATACATAATCTAAAGAAATCCTGTATTTTACACTGTACATATAGTAAATAGCAGCACTTGATAATGTTGTCTATAGTTAATATATCATGCAATACCATTGCATTTGAAAAAATATATTAAATGTATATTATGTTATATAAATTGAGATCTCTGATGCATCCTCGCCAATATATATATATA